CTTTGCATGTGAGGGCCTGGCAGTAGCAATACGGGGAACTGTAGGTCTCAGACCGGGGGACGGTTCGGTAAAGTTACATAAGAGCTACCATTGTGGCGTGCAGTGAGCTAGAGTTAAAGCTAATGACCCTAACAGCTAGCGAACAATTGACACAAGGCACTCAATATGAAGGGCCAGCAAGGCAAGGGCCAAGCACCTGTGAGTCTTTTGGAGACCTCTGTATTATGTGCTAAAACACCGATTGCAGGCAGTGTGTTCTAGACGAAGGCGATACGCACAATAAAGCAGGTTCTGCGGCACTGAAGGTGACTACTACAGGCCATGGGCTTGAGTGAGTTCTCCTTTTAGATGGTCTGTGCGGGTGCGAATGAGTACTTCGATATTAGGATGCCTGTTGTCGGTCAGGATAGTACAGGCTAAGATCACCACAAAGCTTATGATAGTGCAGTGAAAAGCGTTTAAGGGCCACAAGTCCATCTTCACACGGTAGAGCTGATAGTGCCTTCGATCTCTTAGTGGCTCTGGGCTGGATAATTACCAGAACGATCTCGTCCTTCCTCGGATACGGCGGTGGGAGCAGTACAGAGTGCCCCAGCAGTAGGTGTACCAATGTGCTGTAAAGGCGGACAAATCGTTCTCTAGGGAATTACCCTAATGCACGCCCAAGGAGAGCCAGTCGCACGTTGACCTTTCTTGCCAATGTGACTACGTTGGTGATCGGGCTCAGATCAGCTGATAGAATAGTTCCCCGTTCGCGGTTCTGGGATGTGAGGTTAAGACGCACGCCGTCGATAGTTTACGGAGTACACGTACCTTGTCCGTTTTGCATGATCTTGCACCTGACGGGATTGAACAGAAGCACGATGTCTGAGGAGTAGGTGTAGGCAGCATCAATATCTATGCAAAGACGCGCCTGCTCGCTTGGCTCGTGAACAGGTCGCCATAACATCGTCCACGTAAAGCAGTATGGCGCTGATAGTGGAAAATGTTAGGTAATTAATGTGCAGCTTAAAAACCAGGGGCCCGAAGATAGTTTCCAACGGTTCTTCGACCGTTGCGTTCAGAGTCTTGGAGAATGCCAAAGTTAGACGAACTTGGTAGTTGCACCCGGATAGGTGGGTAATTAGCCGGAGGATAGTTTTCTGGTCAATCCTTAGACTTGGTAGTTTATTTATGTGAACTGCATGCTTAACCCGGTAAAGTGCTTTTGAAAAAACTAGGTAAACCACGTCATTTGAAGGAAGAACATCCGCCGCTGCCGTCCAGGAATAATGGGCTGCGCGAAGATTCGGGGTGCATGAGTGAACCCTGCGAAAGCCGTATGTTTCCGGGTCTATAAAAGTCTGGCTTGCTGGATGGTAGTGCAGAGCATTGGCTGTGACGCTGTCCATTACTTTAGAAGAAATGGAAAGTAGTGCCATTGAGCGGTTATTAGAAGGGTTTTCCTGTCTCCATCCTTGTATTTCGTTGATGTTACACCATGCTTCCAGATGTTCGTAGATTCTGTGCATCTGTACGAGCAACTGTACAGTGAGGCAAGCAGTTAGGTCAGTACGGCAGCCCACCAACGCAGAGAGAGTTAAGGGATCCTATCAAAGTTCGGCCATTTTTCTGTCCTTACTTGTACCAATTTTTCCAGAACATTCTCTTACGTAAACTTTAGCTGAGGTCTTTACAATGTCGCGTGTGAAAGCAACGTGCACCTTTGTATTGCATGCTGTGTTGTTACAAACGGACTCGTACTGAGCCTTTAGCAGTTCTGCAGCTTCTTTGCTCGACATTGTAGTTTGGCGTTGGGTCTGAGCAGGCTGCCGACGACAGCCCGCGATAGATTGAGAGAGGCAGTGTGCCGAAGGAAGCACTTGGAGTCATCGGTGAAGCGTCTATCGAGAGTAAGCTGGTAGTCCTTTTTTCTTTGAATACAACTGCTACGCAGAAATTTCGCACTCAACGATATTGTGCGCTCGATTCAATCACCAAGTAGTAAGAATCTGTCCCAACGGGCCTCCTTCTCTCTGCTCAT